TGTCTTTACTACAAAACAAACATAAACAGCAGCCAGGGAAATCCGTATGTTTGTCACTTTTCTTTTAGGGGTGGGGGAGGGGGTGTTTATTGGGGTTCAATTAATCCCAAGTAGGGGGTGGGAGAAATATTGTAGTCTCAACGATCCCAAATGGATTCTGTTGCCGAGGGCTCATAATACTATAGGCTCGGAAAAGCAGCATTTTCGATTGAAATTTAACGTCTATACTTTTTCAACGTACGGAAATCGTGATCACTGAAGCGTCTCCGCTTGGCCCCCGAAGCACCCAATCGGAAGATAGCCCATTGTTAGGCTTCCAACCTAGGATGCTATGCGCCGGCCTTAAGAGGCGGGGTCCGTTCGCTCAATCTGCACTCAGTTGTGATCACCGTTCATCAAACCATACCCTTGACCATGGCGCGCACCAAGCAGACGGCAAGAAAGAGCACCGGGGGGAAAGCCCCCAGGAAGCAGTTGGCCACCAAGGCGGCCCGCAAGAGCGCACCGGCGACTGGCGGTGTCAAGAAACCCCATCGGTACCGACCGGGAACCGTCGCCCTCCGTGAGATTCGCCGCTACCAGAAGAGCACCGAACTGCTGATCCGAAAGCTGCCATTCCAGAGACTTGTGCGTGAAATTGCACAGGATTTCAAAACTGAACTGCGATTCCAGAGTTCTGCCGTCATGGCATTGCAAGAAGCGAGCGAAGCTTACCTCGTCGGCCTCTTCGAAGACACCAACCTGTGCGCCATTCACGCCAAGAGGGTCACCATCATGCCCAAGGACATCCAGTTGGCCCGCCGAATTCGGGGTGAACGAGCTTGAGCACGTTGTGTGCGCAAAAAGAAATAAAACTAACGGCTCTTTTCAGAGCCACTACTTCTTCAAAGAGAGATTAAGTCCAATCCCTGAGTTTTCCTTCAAATAAAGAATAAAGGGCCGTTGATTTTTTTCCGAATTATTATTGTTGATATTCTGTCCAAATACATTCCACTTTTTGGGTTCTATACGTATGCCTCATCCGAAACGTGTTCCAGGCAAAATTGAATTGTTATGGGCATGGTAATAATGATATATATTTCCTATCTGTTTTGACAATTACAGGTACTCGTTCTCTTATTTTCGTCGGTTTTGCGTTACATTGTATGATTCATTATAAATGGATGGTGCATAAGGGGGAAACAACATTTAAAGAAGTATTGGTGCACTACGACATATTAATTCGCCCTCCGCTGGAGATGACTTTATTATTTCCCAGAAATTCAGTAGACAATAATATTTAAGAAGGACACTTATACACGTGTCAGTCTGAGAAAAAGGCTAAAAATACCCTTGCCGGGGAGGGGGGGGGGGGGTCGTGCCGTGCGTGCATTGTATAACTATGCACGCATACCGCTTTCTTCACGCATGGGTAAGCGGTCACTGGCGGGAAAGTGGACGATGCATGGGTGGTCAGAATCCAAGCTGTGCACAATAAAAGCCGGCCAAGACGTGCTGGTCTTTCATTCGATCTCACGATCCGATACATTCCAAGTCCTCCAATATGGCTCCCAAAGTTAGCGGAAAAGGTCAGAAGAAGGCCGGAAATACTAAGGGTCCGGTTAGCGCAAACAAAAAGAGGCACCGGCGTCGCAAGGAGAGCTACGGCATCTACATCTACAAAGTGATGAAACAGGTGCACCCCGACACCGGAATCTCGAGCAAGGCAATGAGCATCATGAACAGCTTTGTCAACGACGTGTTTGAGCGCATCGCCAGCGAATCTTCTCGCCTCGCTCTCTACAACAAGAAGTCCACCATCACAAGCCGTGAAGTGCAGACAGCAGTACGCCTACTTCTTCCCGGGGAGCTTGCTAAGCATGCAGTCAGCGAAGGCACCAAGGCCGTCACCAAGTACACGACTTCAAAATAGAAATTTTGAAGGCTTCAAAACCAAACGGCTCTTTTCAGAGCCAACACAGTTTCCAAAAAGAGATTTGCCAGTCAGCTCAGTTCGCCCGATCAGCCCATTTCTTAGGTTTTACAACTAACCTTTTTTTTATTCTGTTGTGTCCCTTTCACTCTCTCTCTTTTTTTTTTAATATTCTTTTACCCTTCGTGAGGCGAGGGGAGGTAATGCGATTAAAGTTAATCCCTGAGTCTTGTCGTCGTCGTAAACACATAATTTAATTTATGCCACAGCCTTTGTCAATTGGTCATTTCTTTCAATCTCCGGACGAGTGCTTGCATTTTGTTGAGTGGGTTACTATTAAAAAATAAATTAGGATTTCGTCTGTGGGATGTTACAAATATCTAGCAAGAAACCGAGGCCAGTTTTAACCGCCGCGTGAGAGCAACGAATCACTGCCATTGTGCGGAGGCTGGTCGAAAGATCATGGGACTTCTTCGGCGGAATAACAATAAAACGTCTTAAAATGGAGGTAAGAATGTTGCATGTTTCTGTGTTTTATCTAGTGATTCCATTACTTTGAACGACGATGACACAGTTGTAATTTTTTGTTCCCTCGTCCCCCGCGTCCAAAATGGATGCGGTGCACCCAACCGTGCGACGGGCACGCCCGTGTCGCGTGATTGGCTACTTGGCACGCTTCAGCCAATCCACCAGAACGCTATAACTAGTGTCGTGTTTTCCAAGTGGGTTCATTCACACACCACCTTTACTGCAGAGTACATTCATCTTCTGTCACTATACTGTCAAGATGACTGGGCGAGGAAAGAGCGGCAAAGCAAGAAGCAAGGCCAAGAGCAGGTCCTCCAGGGCGGGACTCCAGTTCCCCGTGGGTCGTGTTCACAGATTTCTGCGTAAGGGCAACTACGCCCAGCGTGTCGGTGCCGGTGCACCGGTCTACCTTGCGGCAGTGATGGAGTACCTTACCGCGGAGATCTTGGAACTGGCCGGAAACGCTGCACGAGACAACAAGAAGACGAGAATTAATCCCCGCCATCTGCAGCTTGCTATACGCAACGACGAGGAGTTGAACAAGTTGATGAGCGGAGTTACCATCGCGCAGGGTGGTGTCCTTCCCAACATCCAGCAAGTTCTTCTGCCCAAGAAGACCGCCAAAGTGTCAAAGTAAAGAAAAGAACTTACTTTGCATCCACAAACCCAAAAGGCTCTTTTCAGAGCCACCACAACCTTCAAAAAAGAGATTTGTCGCTGCCTGTCTAACTCCACCTCTACCTTCACTCATAGCCGAAATCAATTTCTCTATTTTTTTTTATAAACAATAGAACACTGTTCCAGATAGAATTCCCACTGTGTCCTTTAACGTATGTGACCGGCCGGCCGGCTGAGTACATTAGCCATACATGTATGTATATGTATTGTCTTAAATGTTGCCTCATGTAGAATGTGAATGACTTATTCACCAAAGGTTACAAAAATGGACAAATAATGGTGCGTTGACATTTGATTCCCGTTTGTTTCTTTTCTTTCTTTCTCTCTTCAATTAACTCCCCGCGGGACCGCATTGATATTGATACATAAGTATTATAAGCGCAAATGCAAACGGTATGACGAATGTTTTCTTTTCTTTCGAATTTTCTTCTTATAACTTCATGACGAAATAAACAATAAATCAATGAAATAAAATAGTAATTATTACAAAAAGGGGAAATAAGTAAGTGAAAAAATAACAAAACAAAAAACAATAACCAAGCAATTAAAGGAAAGCGGCAGGCTGGGACTCGAACCCACGATCTATTACTTTCTACATGTGCTCTCTAACCACTCGGCCACGGAGCTTACTGACAAACTGAAGTATTTCCCCGCCCCTAATGTGGGACCCATTGGCAGGGCCTGAGAAATACCCAGATGGGAAACGCCGAGGCGCGATGACCGGGAGTGTTGAAGGGCGCCATCTATTGATATGCTTGTCCCGGTACATCGTACGTACGGCATTTAGTGCCGACGCTCTCGCTCACTGATGCATTGATCCCATTTTTTGTCTGGATTAATTTTTTCAACAAGATTTTTGGTGAAATATGATCGAGGTGTATGAAAATGCATGATAGAAATATTTTTAAGAATGTATATGTCTCTGTTAATCTGAGAAAGCCGGAGATTTCTTGCTCATCTCTCTCTCCCCGGGTTTCGTTGAGTTGCGGTGGACGCGCAGGAGTCTTCTTTTTGTTTTCACACCAGGAAACAAAAAAAGGCAAAAATAAATAATAAGAAGAACAATAGCAAACAGTATTTCAAGACGAATAATCCCTTTCCGCGCTATTGTTTTAATATTAATCGTTATCGCTTCTCGGCCTTTTGGCTAAGATCATGTGTAGTATCTGTTCTTTTCAGATACTGCCGGACGTGTGTCTCTACGAGCTGCGAGAATTTCGCCTTTTACTGCTTTTAGAGATTTCCCTAGCGTTCTTTGCCTTTACCGTAAGTTTACATTAGTATTTTAGACCTAGCTGGTCTCTTTTTCTATTTTATTGGGGTATTTTTAAGCAATATTTTCAGGGTTTTTATTCCATTTTTGTAGTGGGCTGTGTGCACTGGTTGCCACAGCCCAGTGGTCCTTTGTTCTCGCCTTTTTGTTGGGGCCGTAGCAGTTGTACGGCCCTATCCTTTTTGCACGGGGTGTGTGCAGGTGCACTGTCCCGTGAAGTAGCCTTTTTGTTCTTTTCCCCTACTCAGCACACGTAAAAGTCCGTGTGCTGTTAGGTATTATTGTTCAAGGAGAACGCCATTTTTGTTTTTTCATATAGCCCTTCTAAGCAGGTAGCTTAGGGGTACAGTGTGTTTTTTCTTCTTGTTTAGCCCCAGGTTTAGAAGTTTGCTCTTCCTGGGTTTTCCCTTTGATCCTTTTAGCAAGTAGCTCTTCCCGGGGGAAGTAGAAGAAGCAGATAGCTTCGTTCTTCTCCATTTTGTACATATATTTCTAGTTGGCCGTTCAAGTAGTTTGAATTTTATTTACTGTCAGTCAGCAGTTGTGACTGACAATATTCTTCTTGCTCTATAATTTTCTTCTACAAGTGTTTTCTTAGCAGAGAGTATAATGGCCGTTAGTGCCATGCATAGAGACAGAGCTATGGAGGTTCAATTTGAAGAGCAGACGGCCCCCAAGTCGCTGTTTACTAAGCTCCACGATATTGGTGTTGTAGCAAAGGATCACCTGGCAGCTATCCAGCCATTGCCAGGTAACAAATTTGAGATAGTGTATAAGTCCTCGGTTTTGTGTAAAGAGTTTTACCCCAAAGTAACTACTCTAGATAAATGCACTGTCACGAAGTTCAACGATGTTATGATAGTAACAGTTCATTATGTTAGTTTGTCGATGCACGACAGTATAGTTCGAAACATTCTGGGTAGGTACGGCCAGGTGATTGCCGGCCGTTTCACTACATATGGGGACAACCCAACCGTTTTTAACGGGACTAGACAGTATAGGATGCGGATCAACAAGCCCATCCCTACTGTTATCCGCATTGGAGACAGGAACGCCTGGATCTCCTATCCAGGCCAGATCCGCACTTGTGCCCGGTGTGGCCAAGAGGGCCACTTTGCAAAGGAATGTAATAACATCAAGTGTTTTAAATGTTTGCAGGTTGGACACATCGCCAACGAGTGTCCCAATAGCACAGTGTGTACCATCTGCGGGGAGGAGGGGCATGGCTTTCGAGCCTGCCCCAAGTCCTTTGCAAACAAAGTGCAACCAGACCGTGCCTGGAGCACATCATCCTCCACTCCCTCTGCAGCAGCACCATCAGCAGCGGAGGAGAGACCGGCCAGAGAATCCCCTAGATCAGAACCCTCAGAACCGGACAAGGAATTACCCATAACTCCTTGTTCGAAATGTAAGCGGCCATCTGGCCCGTTTCATCCAAGTATTTGTTGTTTCTCATGCAAATCCACTATATCATGTGATTCTCCCTTTAGAGTGTTGGAGTGTGCCCTCTGTAAGGGCATGAATGGCCCTCCCTCCCTAGTCTGCGACAGGGAGGACTGTAGAAAGGTGCAGGCCCCAGAGCGGGATGATGGGTTTAGGTTAGCCCGGAAAAAGAAGCGTCCAACTAAACGGGCAAGATCACCTCAAGAGGCCCCTTCTAGTAAAAGGGCCACTCCAACAACAACCGAAGTTTTTGGTTCCGATCTAGAGAGCGTTTCATCTATGGACTCCACCCCTCCAAAGGAGCAGGCTAAAACTGGTAGTTCCTCCGCCTCTAACACAGGTAGTTCTCCCTCTTCCTCGTCCTCTGACGCTTCATCTGAGTCCGAGCAGGAGCAGGACTCGACGGACAACGATGAGGCGTCGGGGGTTAACCCTATGAAAATAGGAAAAGTTTTAAATCATCTTACTAGGCTGAAACTCCCAGGACTCAGCGAGCCTGCAAGATGCAGGGCACCAAAATGCCTTTTTACATGCCAGACTTGGTCTGGGCTTTCTAGACACACGTCGAGTGTGCACAATGACTCTTCACTCACTCAGGTGAAGTGCCCCTGGTGTCCACACTCGGCGTGTCTCCCCACCAGGTGGACCCGGCACATTGCTAGGCAACACCCTGACAAAGCCTTGCGGAAGAAGGCAGATTTCTACAAAAAATACCTGTAAATAATCCTCTTTGAATTTCAATGAACTTTCTCCAGGTTTTTATCCTTTTTAGCACAATGATCTCCATTTTAACTTTAAATGTTAATGGAATGCGTGATTTTAATAAACGTCAGCAAATTTTTAATCTTTGTCTTAATTACGATATTTGTTTTTTACAGGAGTGCCACATTACATGCCCCTCTGATCTCCAACTTTGGAAATCGGAGTGGAAAGGGGATATCTTTGTCAGCTATGGCACATCCTCTTCTTGCGGTACTGTTATTATTTCTAATCCACGTGCTTCTTTTAATTTGTCCGGCGTTAATTTTGATTCTCAGGGGAGAATCGTGAGTTGTTTTTTAGAAGAATCGGGTGGACGCATAAAACTCATTTCAGTTTATGCACCAAACGACCCCCTTCATAAAAAGAACTTTTTTAATAATCTTTCGCAGTACCTTTCAGGTAACTGCCCATTCATTTTAGCTGGAGATTTCAATTGTGTTTTTAATTCTACCCTTGACAGAATAGGTAATTCCTCTGTTACATGCGACATAGGTCACCAGGAACTTCGTTCCGTGTGTGACGAATTTTCCCTCATAGATCCCTGGAGGACTACCTATCCTCAAGATAGATATTTTACCTGGAGAAATGGTTCAAATAATATTTGCAGTCGGCTTGACCGATTCTACATTTCCAATATCTTAAATTTTTCCTCTATTTCACATCTGCCTGTCTATTTCTCAGATCATGATGGAGTTGTTTTAAATATTAATCCTTCTCCTCTTCCAGAAAGAGGAAAGGGGTACTGGAAATGTAACACTTTTACTTTAACTGATCCCCTTTTTCAAACAGCTTTTAAGAGAGCATATACAGGGTGGAGAACTCTTAAAGAAGGTTTTGAAAATGAATTAGATTGGTGGGAAGAAGTGAAGCTTCGCAGCAAAAAACTGATTATAGCACATTCTTGCCGTCTTTCAAATAATAGAAAGAAAGAGAAAGTTCGTCTTCTTGCTTCCTTGGAACGGGTTACCGCCCTTCTTAACCAAGGGAACAATGATAAAAACATTCTTGCAAAGTATAACCAGATTAAGCTTCAACTTTCTGAGTTAGACAATTTTCTAGCTGAAGGAGCGAGGGTGCGATCTCGCATTTTTCATTTAAATGAAGGAGAGCACCCATCTAGCAATTTTTTTCGCACTGATTTTAATCATAAGAAAGCTTCTTCCATCCCCACAGTTAAGCGCCCTGACGGGTCTGCTTCATCTTCACCTGAAGAAATTGTTAATATTTATAAAGATTTTTATGCATCTCTTTTTTCAGCAGACGATACTGTTGATAGCTTTCAATCTTTCTTTTTAGATCAGATTTCGAGCACTCTTACAGAAGAGAATATTATTAATCTGGAGGTTCCTCTCGCTACCAACGAACTTGATGCAGCTTTAAGGGGCATGCTAAACGGCAAAAGCCCTGGTAGCGATGGATTACCGAAGGAATTTTATTCCACCTTTTGGGATCTTATTTGTCCTGATCTACTAAGTGTTTTTAACACTTCTTTTGATCTTCATATTTTAGCCAATTCACAGAGGACCGGCATTATCACCTTGTTGGATAAGCCCGGCGACCCTTCTTTGCCTCAAAACAAAAGGCCGATTTCATTATTGAATGTAGATTATAAAATTCTTGCCAAAACGCTCTGTAACCGTCTTTCTTCTGTTTTAACCACAATTATTAGTCCTTTTCAGACCTGCGGAGTCAAAGGGAGATCCATACAGGATAACGCCCGACTTCTGCGGGACCTCGTGTTTTATGCAGAGGAGAGAAATTTAAACACTCTGCTCATCTCGCTGGATCAGCAGAAAGCGTTTGATCGAGTGAATTGGTCATTTCTCCACAAAGTATTGTACAAATTTGGTTTTGGGCCCAACTTCATTAAGTGGCTCAAAATCTTATATACAGATATTTTTAGCCAAGTTCTTGCTAACGGTTTCCTTTCTAATCCGTTTTCCTTACAGAAAGGTGTTAGACAGGGATGCCCCCTGTCACCTCTTCTCTATGTCATTTTTATAGAGCCCTTTGCTGCGGCTGTCCGCAACGACAAGGGAATTCAGGGAATTTTTATTCCAGGAAGCAACAACATGCAGTGTAAAATACTGCAATATGCGGACGATACAACTTGTATCGTTCGAAATGTTCCTTCTCTTCACAGACTATTTAATATCATCAGCATGTTTCAAGGAGCTAGTGGTTCTCGCCTTAATGTATCAAAGTCTAAAGGTCTAATATTAGGTGAATGGAGAGAACAACTTAGCAATCTCTACCCCATTTCATGGACCAGAGAACCCATTAAAATTAACGGCTTCTGGGTCGGTAATGGAGACATGGCGGTCAAGAACTGGGAGGATCGCCTTCCTAAACTTCAGTCTTCTGTGAAAAGTTGGAGTAAACGCTTTTTATCATTAATTGGCAAAGTGTTAGTTATTAATACAGTTCTTTTTTCCTACCTTTTGTATATAGCTCCTGTTTATCCGCTGCCAGTCACCGTTGAAAAGAAGATCAACAAGATAATTTTCTCCTTTCTCTGGTCTGGTAAGACGGAACTAGTACGCCGGTCTACTGTTTGTCAGTCTGTTGACAGCGGTGGACTAGGCGTTACCAACATCAGATTTAAAGCTGATGCCCTTTTCATTAAGGGTTTCAGCTCCCTTTGCAGTCCAGTAGCTCCGCCTTGGAGTTTTTTAGCTCTTTTTTGGTGTTCCTTTTCTCTTCGAAACTTCCTTCCGACTGGTCTTTTTTCTAATAGCCGTCCTCACTCTGCGACGGCTCCCCGTATCCATGTCACTTTCTGTAAATTGATTCTTGCTCTTCCTAATGTTTGGACAATCAACTGGAACACCGTCACTGTAAATAACATTTATAACTTGTTTCTTAAACAGGTCACTGTGGCGCTCCCACGCACAGACGTATATTACACTGATTTGCAGTACCCATTCATAGTAAACAGACATCTAGACCACTTCCTGCGAGATTTAAATTGGCGCATTGTCTGGGGCGCAGTAAAGACGGCTCAGCGGCTTTCATCGTGGGGCATTGGCAGAGGCAAATGCCCCCGACCTAATTGTAATAACAATGAGTCGCTGCAGCACCTGTTGTGGGATTGTTCTTTTGTAGCCCTGCTGTGGGATTGGGCCACGTACGTAGGAGTGCGTGTTTGCGGTCCTACGTTCGCCATCTCCCCAGCAGTGGTTTTTTTCGCTGAGGGCCTTAATCCCTCAAATAAGAACGACAAGTTCATTTGGCTTGTTATTTCTGTATTAAAGTGGCAGATTTGGAAGTCCCGCTGTCAAGTCTTATTCGACGGGAACTTTGTCGATTCCCTCACAGTTTTACGTTCCTCTCAGTCTTTTCTTTCAAGGCGCATTGAGGCGGATTTCTTGCGGCTGGAGAGAAAGAAATTTCTTTCTCTCTGGCAAATTGGCGGTTCAATTGTCTCTGTCAGAGATAACCGCGTTTTCACAAAGTTCTAGCTTTCCCGCAACGGCTTTTATTACCAATTCCCCTCAGTATTTTTAAGTTAGTGTAGGTTGATACTGAGTTTGTCAGGGTAAATTTTAGTTCCCCTTTTTTCTCTTTTTCAGGTTAGGGACTAAAGGCGCCTGTCCCCTGGAAAGATCGAGACATCACTGACGCTGCGAGGAACCCTTTAGGATCTACCGCAGCGGGACAGGCGTATCCCCATACTTCGGTTTGGGAGACGGACTCAGTATCCTTTATTTTGTTTATTGCCGTTGTGTTGCTTATTCTTCATCCGCCTCTTTGTCTGCTTTTGCTTTGCTTTTTCTTTGTTCAAGGTTCGTCAGGTTTTTTCCTTACTGGCGGGCGAGTCGCGCCATTGGGCCTGTTCCGTGCCGGCGGGCGGGTGTTGCAATTGTGATGCCTGTTCGTCGGGGCGGGCAGGTGCGGTGATGGCTAGCATAACCGGTTTGGAGGGGACGCGACGGACTTTTCTTCTCTGTAGCAGCGGGACTTCAATTTAGAGAAACAAAATATCAGCAGCAGTTTTATGCCACCTTTTACTGCAAATATTTTGTGCTACAGGCAGTAGGAATACAGCCAAGGCACAAATGTGAAATTTTCTTGTTTCTCTGTTTTTAGAAAGCATGGTTTTTAAAGTTTTTATGATCAAGTTTTGCAAGATTTTTAGCCTTAGTGTTGTTTTGATTCTAGTCTTTTTACCTTTTTGACTGTGTGTGCTTTTTAAGCTATTGTGTGTTTTTATCTCTTTCGTCTATTTGTGACATTTTCGTCGTTCGGTGACTTTTCGTTTCTCAGGTTATATTCGTCTTTTTAAGTGTTGGTTTTTATCCCGGTTACGGGCAGGGGGGCTCGAGACCCCACAACACTGTAGTTCGGCGATTTGGTAAGTCGACCTGCCCGGGGCATTCTTAGGCCCCAAACCAAAAAACAGTATCTGTTCTTTTCAGCTTAATATCTGAAACGCTGTTCATTGAACAGCCAGTATATTAAACTGATTTTTGGATTTGGGCCGTGGAATAGAGGCTTGCCTCGTCCCGGCCACGGGTTGGCCCGGTATAGCAGTACATCCGGGATTCGGCCCACTCCCTTCGGGGAACATCAATTAATACAAAAACAGGTTCTGACTACGGTGCCCCGTCGTTAAAGGTTCGTTTTCTTTTGACGTTTTGGTGACAGGGCTTTCACATTGAATTACGGTAAATATTAGTAAGTGTGTAAAGTCTTGTTAAATTATGATGTTGGCGTTTCCATTGATTTCCGTTCAAGGCGTAAATAAAAAAAAAAAAAAAAAAAAAAAAAAGGCTTGGCCACGACCCCTCTGTGTCTGGTTATAAATGTATTGTTTGAGTCTCGTTGCAATATGTTTCTAGGCATCTTCTTCCTTTTCTTATTTGTTATCCCTTTTCCCCCTTGTTTTGCTTCTGATTTGTTTGTTTCCCAGGATGAGTGCTCCTGCCACGATTGGTCGCCAGAGGGCGCCGTAACAGTTGATGGCTTCGCATGCTCAT